TAGTAACTTATTATAATTTGAATTATTAAAACATGCTATATATTAATTCAAAATGGCATCCTTGATATTGCTTAATTCTAGGTATGTGCATATATTGTATGTAATTTAAAACTCAACAGGTTTGCATTATTTTAATTTATATATGAAAAGGTCTGCATAAAATTTAGCCAATCATTTTTTGTTTTGATTCTTTTTTAGAATATTTTTAGAATTACACAATGAATCTAGAATGCTTATCATTTATAAATTAGGAAATACCAAATTTAGTATATTCCCTGACTGAAATAATAATTAAAGACACGAAATAATTGATGTTACAAATAATGATTAATTTTGTTCATATTTCCAGATGTAAATATTGATGTACTACACAAGACATTGTATATGTAGAGATGCTCAAAAAATCAATCCGTCATCCATTAATTGCTCAAAAAATACATCCATCAGATTCAAATGGATTATCTGGATCATCCGTGAAATTGAACAGATCATCTGGATTGTACGGATCATCCACAGTTTGAACAGATAATTCAGCAATATTAGTACAGTGAACCCTCCCTAAGTGCACCCTCCCCAAATGCACGCACTATGTATACATCAGGAAATTTTCCTGATGCAGATTTATGTAATTATTACATTATTTACATAAGTTTACAGCAGGCCTGTAATATTATGCAAATAAGCATACAAAAATTATGCAATTATTACATTGAGTGTAAATATTACATAATTTTTATGCAAATATTACAACTTTACATATTAAAATTTATGGACGTAATATTGTGACAGGGAAAATTTCCTGATGACTATGCAAAAAGTTCTTTATTTTTTTAAATGTTTGCAGTTGCATATATGAGGTAATGAAATGAATTGGCATTCTTTCATCCTTATTCCAAAAATCTTTAAAAGATGAAGTTTTGTATATCCCGAATAAATAATAATTCCTAGCCAAGTCAAAAATTCATAAAAATCAATATCCATCCAAGTATCTTCTTTTTTTTTGATTTCCATATTTATTAGTATTATTTACAATTGTTCTTAAAATTTCATTCAAAAAAAATAATTTAAAAATATCATAAGGTGTGATGGAATCAAGAATACTGTATTCATATGGCAAATTTAAATGAGACTCATTGTATAAAGGATATTGATGAGCAAACTTATTAAATGATGGTGAACTTGGAAGATTAATTGGTTGTGATTGTGTATTTCTATTTCTCCCACCACCTCTTCTATCACTTCTAGCTCTACTTGGAAAACCCATCACAAACATCTTCAGATAGGCGGAAGAAAATAACAGATGAATTAAATCTAACCATAAATAAAGGAAATTTACCAATGTGTGAAAATGAAATCATTCTTCAATATGCATATCCAAGGCTTGATAAGGCAGTATCAATAAACATTAACCATTTATTGAAAAGTCCATTTTGTGTACATCCTAAAACAGGCAAGATAATTTATCATTATCACCATTCTGATACAGTTGAAGAAATTTCACTTTTTGACATGTCCCGCATTAAAAATAATATTAAGAAAATTAATCATAAACATTCAATTTTTTAACCTCACAATATTATATAACTGTTTATTTGCACATCTCTTATTTATAATAATATATTATTAATCATGCGTTATTGCATGCATAAGATTTTATTTTGTCAACAGTGATAGATGTGATATCATTGTTATAACAAATCATTTAAACTCTTATTTTCGTGATTGTTAAATGATATTTCCTTTATATTATGGAATTTATAAAATTAGATCTTTTTTATTATGGATGCGTTATAATATTTTTATTTTTTTGCTATATATAATGATGTGGTATAAATAAAAATAAATACATGTATACTGTTGGTGACGAAATCACCCAGCACAATAGTCCTTTTTAAAAGAAATTACATATGGAGCCTACTCTTTAATTAAATTTCTTATGATTATTAATATTAATTGCTAAAACGTATGTCATCCTTCGGTAATGGCGTGACGAAAATCTGGATAATTTTGGCGTGTAACCGATACAGATTTCTATAAATTTAGTAGAAAATTCTCCACATTGAATTTTTTTTCTTTTTAATACACTTCACCCATATCAATGATTATCACATACCCCCTTTCAAATTTATACTTGCTGCCCATACTATAGAAAAACATTATTTATAAAATGGTGATTACAATAACAACAACTTTACTGATGATGAATTGCGAGTTTACTATCATCGGTTGTCCCATGCAATGAAATTTTTTGTTGGTTAAATTATGACAGAGGTATCAATTTTTTTATAAATAATGGTTTATGATTAATAATAATAATAATAATTTTTTTTGATATTAGCTCAGATGTGTATTCAAGAAAGATTTAATTCGTATAATAGTAATAGCAGTATCGGAATTTTTGTATTTTTCTGAAACTAATCCGAAATCTGAAACTAACCCGAATCCCACAAACAACAAATGATTTTACCAATGCCCGATTTATATCATTAATACATTGAGGTGTTAGTTTGGTACTTTCAATATAATTGATTGAGTTAATTGATTGCTAAAAAAAAATCGCGAACTTCTACTGGTACTTTTACACATAAATTACCTAAGTGTTTTCAAGAGCAGCAGGTGAATCTTTATACCAAAACGCCCCACAAAAATTACATGTAGCATTCCAATGCCCTTTTGAAATTTCTCTCCCTTGTTTGATGTACCTGCCCCATACAATTGACTTTGGTTTTCCACTAATTTTTTTGGGAGGATACAGTCAATGTATCATCATTTGAAACAACAATAGGAGACTCATTACTAATGAAAGAAAAATTTTCTTCTGTAACTAAAGATGAATGGTCATTTATTATTGTTTCGTTTTCTTCCATTTTAAATATTTATTAATGAAAAATTACTATTGGTCAGAAATTGATCATATGATTTCGGATAATTTCGCCCCAGTTTCGGATTCGGGTTGGGCGAAAGGGTTAGGTTTCGCCCGAAACACTAGTAGTATCACAACCAATATCAATCAATCATTAGACCAGTAAATCTATTACAACTATAAAGTGACATCATGCATTACTTACTATATAAAGACTGGAACATTAAATGATCCAAAAAAAATATGTGTAATTTTTCTAAACATTCTCTGTTTCAACTATCAGGATTTGACAACAATACTGGGCATTCATTACGAGATCACTTGACCTTTAATTCTTTCAAAAGCAAATGGCGCTTTTTTTGATAGGAGGAAAATTTAATATATGTATTTGCACACACACACACACACATATATATGTTTATTTATTGATTTATTAAAACTAACCATACCATAATATTTCTAATTGATCCTAGAGGATTCCCCCAAAATTTTATTAATAGAGATCCTTTGCCACAGGACCCGCAAATTTCATGGACAGGTTACTGCCGTAGCTGAGTCAAATTCATATATTAATGTTAATATGACAATTTGTCGCGCCAATCATTGGGTGAAATTTTTATTTTATTAATATTACTTTATTGTCATTAAGCAACTTCGGGATATATACAATATTAAAAATGGGTTTGTTTTGTAAGAATAAACATCACCACAAATACAATATCATTGAAATTTTATTCACACTAAGAACATCATTATTTTTACGCTCAACTATTTCCTTAAACTGCGGTGTTCCTAATGTAACTCTCAACCTATTAATGATCTCTACCGTCTCTACAGGAACATTAGTATATATTTTCATTCTTTTTGTTAATATTATCATGAAGCTTTTGTACTTCATACTCGTATTTTTCCTGGGATTTGCAATAAATGTCACTGATTAGTTATAAGAATAATCGTCAGAAAAGAAAATCAAAAGCATTAATTTAAGCGTACAGTGAATGTGAACAAATTATCAATGACATTAATGAATTTGTCCACAGGTTTGAAAGGACCTGGGAAGTTCTGTCTCGCCAATATCGAACATAATATAGAGTTCTGAAGCGGTCAAAATCATGATATAGCCTGTCCACATTGTCACTACCAATGTCATATACACGTTAGTATACAGACAATATGATAATTATGTGGAACACTCACTAATTGTTTGCCACGCAAAAGTCATATGATCTTTTCCTGTCTTCTTTAATGAGAAGATCAAGAGCATCCTTCATAAAAATGCCTAGTCCGATAAGATCCAAGTTGTTTTTCTTTACGTTATTGTTTTTTCTTTTCTGTAACCTCGCCAAACATTATTTCATATTTAGATTTGTTGTTATTTACAACATTACTGACCATGTCCAGTTACTTTGCATGTGAAGGATCTAGGTTAGCAAGTTTACAAACTTTAGCACTCATACTGCTAGGTTTGACCATATGGCTGGATGTATTGAAGCATCATGAAAGAATGTACGTAATATTGGACTAATGATGTTGACAGTCAAAGTGCCCTCATTGAGAAGGTCTTTCAGTGGCTTAACAGGAATATTTTTCGTTCTGTGGGATAGATAAAAAGTGTTATAAACCAGTTGGGCAGTAGGAGATAAAAAACATTACAATTTCTTATTCGAATTATCATTATTATTCATTTTATTAGTTTTATTCGGATTATACTGTATCTTTTTATTCAAATTATTCGTTAGAATTATATCTTTTATTATTTGTTTTATTTGTTTTTATCTATTTGTTTTATTCATTTTATTCGAATTGTTCGTTTTTATTCATTTTATTCGTTTTATTCTTTTTGGAAAATATAAAATATTAATTCACAACTTGATGCAACAAATTTTATATTTTATTCAAATCGTTTTATTCGAATAAACTTTCAATGTAATTTGAATAAAACTTATTTGAATAGAACCATACTACTACTAATTATTATTTACAATATTTCTCGATATTTTTGATCACACATTTCACTCCCTGATTGTGATGATAATGACTAAATTTGATCCCTGAAATTTTTGGGTAATACTAATTCACTGTTGCAGCATGCCTCATATTCAAATGTGAGACAAATAAATTTTCTTCAAATTGTAAAATGTCAGACACCACTGATCAAACCAATCTTATAAATCACAACGACAATCAAACTGCTACTTCTGCTTCTCCTTCAAATGATCATAATGATAATAGTCAAGGTTTAACAGTTCCGTAAGAACATAATAACTATTACTATTTTTTTTTATTTCACTTCATTCATGTTTATGTTTTCAAAAAGTTAACCTTTCTTTTATCAAAAAATGATGAAAAGAACTTCAAACACACAATATAAATTATCTCGATCAGAAGTCGTTCATGGCATAGCAAATCGAATCATATATTCTAGATTTTATACTTGGTTATATTTGGGAATGGCCATTCTTAGTTTTACTTCAATTGTCCTAGTAAATATAATTTTTTAGTTTTTTGATTAATTAATTATTTTGAATTTTTACTATTACTATTTCTAATAACAATAATAACAACAACAATAATAATTTTAAAGTCTTTTGTAGAAGAATGGTAAGTTTTCCATGTCACCTATGATATAAATATTATTGATAATATATATTAATGATATAAATTTTTTGATTTTTAACAGTCAAACGGTAGCATTTATTACATTAGAAGTTATAATTAACACAGTGATGATACTGGAAGTAATAACACGCCTTTTAGCGTTTAGAAAGGTTTTGCAAATTCTATTTATTAAATTAAATTTTTTTTTAAAAAAAAAAAATAATTAAATTCTTTTTTTTGAAAAATAGTTATTTTGGAAGTCCATGTATAATATAATAGATATAATTCTTGTATTATTGTGTATTATTACATTGATATTAATATTAGATGGTGGATGTTCTCATAAATCAGAGGAAGTCTTTGATCTAATTTTATTAATTGCAAGAAATTTAATTCAATTTACCAGATTATATTTATTATTAAGGAAGTAAGTTGTTTATTACTATGATGATAATAATAATAATATAAATAATTTATGATATTTATTAATCAAATTAATCAAATTTTTCATTAGAAATAAGAAGACTATAAAAGCTCGAAGTACAACAGTGGATTTCAATAATGTTGGAGATCCAAGTTTTTCTATAGATATTGATGCATTTGATCGCGAATTTTTAAATGAAGAATTTGAAGATGACATCCTATAATAATAATAATAAAAATTATTCTCAATATATAATAAATTTTTTTTAATAATTTTGTATTTCTAATAATAAATTTTCGTTTTATTCAGGATAAATAAAATATAATAAATAAAGTAAATATTGAATTATTTATTGATTAATTTTATCAATTCCAATTCATACAACTCCATAACGACTCTTTTAATTTGTTATAATCCAAATTTTTACCAATCATCACCAATTTATCTTGGATCTCGTCATTATTAGCATTTATAGCAATACTTTCTAAATAATATAGATCTTGAACTCCTTGTATTACAATATATGACGAATCATTTGTTATTCTAATAATTCCTTTAAGTCTTAGAATTATAACCCTACTATCTTCTTCTTCATCAGAAGATTTATTATTGTTACTTGAGATTTTTTTAACATCATCACTATTGTCAGAATTAGTTGCTGGTGACAATTTAAATAACGCTGGAGATGGAATAACTTTATTCCATAATAAATATTGAATCCAATTCTCTAATTCTTTAATATTTGAATTTTTTGGAAAACCTGTTAAACATATGGTTTTGACATCTCCTATATGTTGTTGAGAATTATTATCAGAAAGAATATTTTTTTTATCAATATTTAAATTATTAACTGTTATTTTATCAGTTGTTGAATCATCTAATCTTGGATATTCTTTTGTATCAAATGCATGTATATCTAAAATTAAATCCAACGGAACCCTTATTTATATAGAGAAGATGAAAAATAATAAATATTTGAAAAAATATTGTTGTTATTTGTTATTATTGTTATTATTGTTATTATGATATTATTTACCTTGAATTTTTTGTTTTAAAAATCTTTGCCATTGAATTTATTAATCTAATTTTATATTTAAAATTATTAATATAATACACATATACATATACATACACACATATATATAAATTTAAAAAACCTTATTTCTTCTTCAATATTTTCAATTTCTTCAAAAGCAACCAAATCAATTTTATTAAGTATTATCACATCTGCTATTGCTATTTGTCTTTTATCAATGAATATAGTTTTAATATTAGTACTAATGTCTGGTATATGATGCATGTGCACACACTTATATATACTAAAACTTACTTTACTGCTTCATTTATTGAATTATCATCATTCTTCTTGTCAGAAATATACTATTTATAATCATAATAATTAATAACAACCAGTGATTTTTTAATTAGAAAATGTTTCTTACTTGTTTTATATATTTAGCATCCACTAATGTAATAAATCCATCTAAATAAATATCGCTAAATAAATCATCATCTAACCAAAACATTGAAACTATTGGTCCTATTTAGAGGAAAAGAAAGAAACATAGATGATAAATATTATTATTTATCATTCAATTTATTGATCAGTTAATTATTTATCATCACTAGCAAAATCATTAATGTTCTATATTCACCAGGATCTGCAAGACCTGTTGTTTCTAATAATATGTAATCAAACTTTCCTCTTTTCTTCATCAAATTTTCAATTGCTTTTACTCCACTATCTCTAAAAATTAGTATTGGAAATATATAAATATAAATAGCATATAAAATAATAATAAACATAAATAAATATATATAAATAAATTTACTACTACTTGACAGAACAACATAAACATCCGTTCTTTAATTCTAACCATTCTTCAAATAAATCTTCTTCATCATTTTTTATTGTTAAAGATTTTTCAATGTCACTACTTTCTCCAAACTCATTCAAAATCACTGCTATTCTTTTACCATGTTGTTCATTCAACACATAATTTAACAATGTAGTTTTTCCTGAGCCTAGGAAACCTAAACTCGAAATGAAATTCGATTAATCAATGAAATGCGTTATCAATTATTAATTAATGCTTATGTTTTAACTTACCTGTAATGATTGTTATAGGAACTTTTGTATCTTTACTATCGCTATCTTCATTAATATCTTGTTTAATACTTTCACTATTGCAATTATCACATTCATTAATTATTTATAATAATAAATAAAGGTTTTTACTATTTAATATTAAAAATATTAAAGGTATAAATTATAAATATTATGTTTTTACGTTTCTGGAAAGATTTCAACTAATTCGGGTATATTTTCTTCTTCCATTTCAAAAAAAAAAAAATAATAATCAGATAATTCCAAAGTGCGACTGAACAATTAAATTATAAAAAAATCAAAACGCCGATTTTTAAAATATTTTCAGGACTATCACTTGCCTCCTCATAAACTCACCTAGTGGGTTTTTTGGTTCAGATAGATACAATGATGGTATGAAGAGATCACACAAGAAATATGTAATGACTGGTTTTCCGAGTTGAATTTAATCTTTTATTCGTGAATTCGTTCCAAATCTAAAATTTAAAGAAGTCATCAAACAAACATTTTCAGAGCTTTCATTGGAGTGGACGCTTTAACGATCACGCAAGGTAATTGTTGACTATTTTACATGTTCCAATGAAAGTTATAAATAGTTGGTTATTGTGATTCACGTCCAAGTCTTCAACCCAAAAAAAAAAATTTTAAATTGTCTAGGAATTTAGCTCAATGCTCTAATATTTATGTTATCGCATTATAGATTTTTTATGTTGCGGTTACGGATTACTATATTTAGTCCATAACAAAATGAAATCAGCTCGAAAAAGGAATCAATACCAACAAAAAGTTATCTTTACTGAGTCATAATCAGTACATTATATGGAAAGTTTTAGCAGAGCGTCAAATTAATTAATTGTTCCAAAGGAAATGAAATGAAAATTGAAAAAGAGGATTAGGAGATTCAATTTATTTTAACAAATGTAAAGCTGATTTTCTCATCAGAAATGATGGTGACTTTAAGGCTTGCTTTAATTACATTCCAATATTTTCTAGAAATGATATTCTAAAATTTGAAATTTTGCTATAATGGTCGGGTTTAGATGACTCAATAGAAAAAATGCTGATTTGAGTTAATACCACATTTGTTTGTAACTCTTTAGAAGCCATACCCACTTTGCATAGTAAAATTTCAAGATATTTTCCTTTGGAGTTTCAAAAACAATAGCAAATTCCTTATGTAGATCTTTTTTCATTCTCATCTATTGAAAAGAGTGTGATTTCATTCATTCATTCACCCTTTATCTAACAAACCCATCTTGAAATTTAAATCAATGTATCTTTTAGACACAATATTCATATTTATTATCAACATCATCATTTTGTTGTTGAGTTCATTTGTTGTTGCTTTATAACTATTTTTTATCATTATCTTTAACTGGCCTGGAAAATCAGCAACAACTGGTATGATATACTTTTGGAGGTAAGCAATTAATGAAGGAATGTCTGTAATCATTTTTCTAAATTTAAGATTTAATTCTTTCATGTTAACTAAGTGACAATTCATCATTGATCTATTGTTACAACATTCGCACAACATACAAATCATATGTAAGATGCAAAATGAAATGTTATGTGTTTCAGGGTGTCCCAAACCCTCAAGCAAAACACTCACTCTAACCATCACAAATAAATCATATCAGATCATCCCATCATTTATATTTTACATCATTATATCTTACATTGGATCATCCCATCATTTGATCCAAACAACCTTTTTTGGCCCATTTTTGGGAAGTTGAACAAGTGCCAACCACACAATCTCTAACCATCACTTCATCTCATATCAGATCATCCCATCATTAAAACAAGTCAACCTTGTCTTGTGTTATATATATGCACATACGAATCATATGTAAGATGCAAAATATTGAAATCATCATGCAGTGATAACCCACTATTATTCACTTTGGAGTGGCTGTGTGTATTATAATAAAACCTAATGAAAGATAGTTTAGAAAGTAAATTCTATAAATTTACATATTATCAGAAATCATCATTTTTGACTTTGACTCAGGCACAATCCCACAATACCTTGACAGATTTATTAATGAACAGATTTATCAAAGATAAAGGAATACAGTTTTGGTCATAATTTTGTTAAAGATGATGAAAGTGGAATGGTTGATACTCCTTTTTGCAAAGCAGAAATCGAAGCCTATTTAGGTTTGTTGAACTTTTTACAAGTTAATGGCTCTTGGTTAGAACATACGAAAATTATCTTTGAGATTCAGCCGATTAACCTATAAATAAAAATCCAGTTGTTGTCCTTATGGTTTTTGTAAAATCTTCTTTAAAAGTTGGTTCTTATTGTGGATATGAAAGCGAATCATTGGATCGTCAGAAAAATAATAATGCCGAGGAAGAAAACAAAATTATTCCAATTCGTCAAATTCATGAATTAAATATTGAGCAGGATAAACGTTGTACATCGATTTGAAAATTCTTTTGTTTTTTATTGTTTATAGATGATGTAATAAAAATATATATAATATTAAACAGTAAATAAAAATTCTATTAGAGTGATAGGCCACTTAAATCACAAAAAAGGGTTTATCTAATTTAAAATAAATAGACAAATATAAAGCATGTTAAGAAAATTTTTGATAATGGTAAGAGGTGTTTGTTCACCATGTGGCACTTCCTAAGAGACTAGGTGAAAATTTCAATAATCAGATCAGATAAATAAAATCTGTTCACAAATTAGATAAATCATCTGATATGGCTAATTCAATTTGTTTAGAATCTGTAATAGTTAATTTATAATTTAAAATATCATTAATAATAAATAATTAAGATTAAATGTGTAACAATAAATTAGATAATTACCATTATTGTTGCTAATAATTGTAACTTTATTGGAATTTACAGGTTGAGAAAGATTTGTAAAATTCAATAATCTACTTGTATAAACTGCATTTGAATGAGCAGTTGCTGTAATTGTTGAAGGGTTGAAAGCTTTTTGATCTGCTTCCTCAAATATTTTTTTTATTTCTTTTAATTTATAATAATTAAGTTTGTGTTTTAGGATTTCATTGATACCAATTGTGCCAACTGCATCTTTCCAAAAAGCAATAATTTTTAAAATTTCATCTGCTGTTGGTCTTTTTTCAGGATCAGCATCCATGCATTTGTATGCTAACTTAATATAACATTCTGGAGTATTATCTGAAAAACTAGGCCTTAAGCCACCACAAATCTTCAGTGCAAGATCTAGATCATGTGGTTGATCTTTGAATGGCTGTTGATGTGTTGATGTTTCTGACATTAAAATCCCAAAGCTATAAATGTCTGATTTTTGTGTGTAAGGTTTCTTATTTAATACCTCTGGTGTAACATATGGTAGCACTCCAAATATATCATTTTTACTTTCAATTGATGTTTCTTGATCAACTGAGCCTGATAACCCTAAATCTGTAATCATTGCCTGGGATAAATAATCAAAATATAAAATATTACCACTGTGAAGATCACCATGTGTAAGTTTTTCTTGGTGAAATGTGTTTAAACTTGAAATGATGTCATAAAGTATTGTGATTCTGTCATTCCAATTTCTGCAATTTGATTTTGAATATTCCCTGTAATCTCCTTGGTCTGCATATCTCATTATGAGAACATATTCTTTTGTATTTGGATCTTGTGAAATACCATAAATATTAACTATACCCATTTGATGAGGTCCTATAAATTTAATGTGATTCTGAAGCTTTATGAAAATACTAATTTTGATAAAAATACACAACTAAATTTTCTTGAAGTTGTCCCTTTATCAGAAGACCGGAAAAATTATTTGTATACCAACATTCATCAGCATGTAGATAATCCATATAAAGATATTCTTTGTCCAAACCCTATT